ACGGATTCATTTTGAGTGCTAGTCAAGATCAACCTTGGAAGATACTGATGTTGTGCTAGCTTTCTTTATTTACTATGTAAGACCTCGCCACTGTAAATTTGTCCTATCAATAGATGTATGTATGTTTTGTCCGTCACGTCTCAGGAATAATAGTATTGTAAATTCTTGGGGTGTGACACGGGATTAGACTATCCTAGGGATAGGCTTGTACCGGAATTGGCTTATCTTGGAATTGGTCTCGGATATAGTTGTTTGCAGTTTGGATAACACCTGATAAGAAACATGAATATTCAAACTGTCTGTGGTGGGATAGAGTTGTCCATTGTTTGGATTGTCTGGAATAAATGAATCCATAGAAATTTAATTGCAGTTTTTGTATAATTATTCTACAATTAATACTATATAATCCCATTCATTGATGGGGATGTTAATACTTTATTGGACATGGTTTCTATGCGGTCTGTATAATCCCATTCATTGATGGGGCTGTTATTACTTTGTTGGACATAGTTTCTATGCGGCGAGCCTGCATATTGTAAAAATGCGGGCTCGTCAAATAATATATTTTTAAACTATAATTTGATCCTTATTTTAAGTGGATAGATAATTCTTAAAAAAATTTGAAAACTAGGAATAATAATTATATTTAAAAAAAATTTGGACTGTTAGTTACACTTATTTTTAAAAAGACCACCTATTTGCATTCATCTTTAAGATGGATGATTTATACCTTTGGACTGTATACGATAGCAATGCGGTCCAGCCCGTATGAAACAAATTTCTCACTTTGTTTACATACAATGATGTTGCAATTTGCAAACAAAGATGTATATAGGATAAGAGTAATTATCTTATAGGACCTTCCGCTGTCTAAAATTTCAAAGGATTACTATTACACTAGCATAAATCTCTAAAAAAATTTATCACGTGGATGAAAGTCTTATTTTTCTAAAGATTTGTACCAATTTTAGTGGTGCTCGTCCAAAGTCCTATACAAAAGGGTGGGAGAGTGTCTATAGGATCATTTCTCGAGGATAATTCAAGACGCATTTTAGAGTTTCCCTCCTTCAAAATTTTCAAACTGGATTTATTTGGCGCCATGGCGGGCGGGATTTTTTACTAAACTGGAAGTCCAAGACTCTCTCTCTGTGAAAATTAGTGAGATGAGGTCGAAAAGGAAACAGCTCACTATTCGTCAGTTCGGTCAACGATCTCTTACTTCTCTGTTCCCCTCCATTGAACCCAGGTACCCACTCAAAGCCCTAATTTCATGATTCCATCTACCATTCCTTTCCTAATCTTCTTAGTATGGGGTTTCTATCCCTCCAGGGTTCCTTTTGTTCAAATTCCCCTGCATCTGCTTGTTTCAGGTGTTAAAGCATAAACTAGATATGGATTTTCTATCTGTGGTGAATGCTTCTTTTTTGTGATCTTGTTTGAATTGATCACATTTTTCTCTGTGTACTAGCTCAAAAGTTTCAAAAGTGAATCCAGAAAGTTCTGGTTCATTAATATCGCTTTCTGATTTCCTTGATCGAAAATTGGACAGAAGCAGCACAGATAGTGGAGATAAGGTGGGTTTGATTTCTGATTTATTTTCAATGTATTTTTTTTTTATTATTATTTAGAGAAGAATAAGGAACTGAAATTTGAGCCCACTTTTTATCTTCTTTTGCGGATCTTTTTGCAGGGAATTTCTAGTGTTTTGTCTCCAATAGGTGGGGAGAGGACTGAGCTTGATCATGAAGGAGAAGTAATGAGGCCTGGACTATCACCGAAGAATGGTTTTCTTGATGAAGCTGTGTTTCGGTTGTTCAAGACTAAGGAGGAGGCACCCGTAGGTACATGAGAAAAATCTAGTTTTTCCTTTTCAAATTGAGCAAAATTTTTAAGTTTTTATTTGGGCAAATAGATTTGTGGATAGCTCTCTCTTCTCTCTCTTTTTTTTACCATTTTTTTTAATAATTGGGTACCACTAGATATTAATGCCTGGTTGGAAGCTGTATTTACAAAAGCAGCTACAGAAACATTAGGTATGCACAAGGTGAGCTTTGCAGCTGAGTGAAGCATATTTTTAATTTTATTTCTCTGCGGTGAAGTACTCAAGTGGAATTGATCTCGTGAATGAGAAATTTAAAATGTGTTAGCAATGAAATGAATACAGAGGATGGGAATTTATGGGAACAAGAGAGTTAATTGATTGTGAACTTTCAAAGAAGAAGGTGTTGAAGTCTTTATGGATGAGCAGATGAATCATGTAAAGGAACATTGCTGTTTTTGATATTGACATAACGATTGTTATTTCTATTGCATTTCAAGTGGAGCATACCAGACAAACACATCTAGTTGAACAAATGTTCTTACCAAAAAATCTATTAAAGGCAGAAGCCACCCTCAGCTGGCCAGCGTCTGGCATATGATGTGGTGGGATATATTATAGCATATGCATCTTGAGCATGATTACGTTCTTTAAGTCATATAAAATCTAACCTAGACCAATTTTTGAATGTCGAGTAGGAGGCATCTACTTGCAACTGAACTGAATGAAGATCCATGATCTTTACACCTGGGATGCATCAGTAATATCTCCGCATCATGGGTGTAGCAACTGCCTTGTCAAAGTTTGAGGACAGTACATGTAACCCATGTAGAAAACATTGTCCGAGTCATTTTCAATTGAAATTTCCAAGAATTGTCGTATTCTGATTTACTGATTTCAAGAGACCAATCTTGGAAAATATATTGATCCACCCTATTGAATTAATTCCATAGTGTTCAGGGATGAGTGTAATGGTAAACCGACGGGTGCTTTGCATTGTAATTGATGAACTTGTCTTTCATTTCGAGTCTTCGCATAGATATTTCAAAAACAGTTCTACCTATTTGAAGAAGCATTGAAATAAGTCTTTGAACTTTATATGTCTGCCTTAAGAGATTCATGTATCGAAGCTATAACTTATCTAGGCATTTCTTGTGTGATCAACATCTGTAAATTTCTGTGCACTTCTGTTTGACTGCATGTTCTACAACTAGTTGTAGATTTTATTTTATCTTATTTCAATGTTAAAAGAAAACGAAAACATCAACTCCAATAAGCTGATGTAACCTTCAAACTCTGGTTTCATGATTATGTTGGTAGTGATCAGTTTAGGATTTATATTGCAGAGATCTGCAATTTTGAAAAATGTTTGTTTCATAATAAAAAAAGGTGAAAAAATATGAATTTTTTGTAAGCTTAATTTTGTAATCTTAGCATAAATGTTTAATGTAATTGAGCTAAGATGGGAGGAAGTTAGGAACAATGTTTGTACTTCTTAAGGATTCCATGGCTCAGTGTGCTTATGCATGAACACTACCATGATGGATGGCCTTTGGGAATGCTCTTGTACTGCTACCAAGAAGAAAACAAAATTATCATAAGGACAAGTGTTTTAAAACTCTTGGACTTCTGGATTTAAGGATTGAGCATGAGAGTTTACTTATGTCCTTATAAGCAAAGATGGACATGAATCTATATATTTTCTGTTTGTTGAAACAACTGACAATCCTATTATATATACCATAGTATGTACTTATAAGGATAGACAACAACAACTTATTTGGGGTAAGGCAAATATTGATAAACGTGAGTGGATTATGGATTGATGCCAGGGGAATTATGGGGCTGTATGGAAGAAAAAAACTAAACCAGAAAAGGTACTGTAAAACATGAAGTACATGCTTGCACAAAGGGTTTTAAAGTAGGATTTTTAATAGAACTGGATCTCCAAATTTACATGGAAGTTCTTTGCAGTAATATCCCAATTGGAGGGTACAAAAAATAGCTGGTTCTACACAATATTCATATTTGGTTGGAAAGCATGAAAATTCAGAGCAGATGGAGGATCAATGTTTTTATGCTAGCTTAGCAGATTTAGCACCTGAAACAGTGTTTCTCATTTACTTAAGCTGAGTCTCAATCAGATGTCTAGTAATATTTATAGAAACATTGAGAAATATTTGAAAAAACTCATGAAATTTGGGAATTAGGGGGAGGAAGCCATTGTCTTCACCTAGAAAACCATTGGATCTTAAATTTCAGGCAAAACCAATATATTTCTTTTTTTCTCTAATGTGGTAATGTTTGAGCAAGTTTGCTTCTTATCTGTCGGTATGCATGGGAATGCAATTGCAAGGTTCAATTTATGCATGGCAAGATGATGCACACTGAATGAATCTAGTTTAACACCTAAAGGGTCTCATTATTGCTCCTATAATAAGATTAGGAATTAGGATTTGTCCATCAACCAATCAATGTTTCAATTTACCCTCCCTTAAACAACTTCCATAAAATGGACAACACTCAACCTCTACGTAGAATTTCACTCAGCCAATAATCGGCCCTCCTCGCAAATGACTTCTAGTGATACTCATTACATAGATTCTGCTCTACACATAAGCTCACCTTTGTGTCACATGCTAGTCTTCAAGAAGTTCAAGAAAAACTGTGAATGGAACTGTAGAAAACCCCTTGAGATGTGTCAGCTCATTAACTCAACAAATATTGCCAGAATAAATAGAGATATAACTGAGCCAGAGGAAGCATGGAATCAGTTAGGAGACTTTTTAATGTTTTTGCTATCTCTATTTTCCTTTGGGAAGTAGGGTGCTCCCAAATACTTGAGAAGGAATAAGGGCACATTAGAAACCTAGAAACAACTCTTCAGCAGAGTTTTATATGGTCCTGATTGCTTCACTACAGACCAAGAATGGTAATTAGTCAAGACTTGGAGCCTGTAGCATGCATCTTATTGCCCCTAGAATGGTCCATGTTTATTCACGTCTTTCATTGAGTGGGTTTAAACTTCATGCTAGTGCTGCATGTGTCAGGACCCTTTGTTGTGGGACTTGTAAATTGCGGGGCTTAGGCTGATTGCATTTGCTCTAAATCAATCTGTGATTGAATAGCCAATAACAGAGTATTCCCACATATAGGTTTGTAAGGTGTTAGAGTCTATCTCTCCTAGTCTTCATTTCTTTCCTTTTGGAATTGGTTGGTTTTTAATGATAGGAATTTGATGCTTGATTTATATGGAATATGCTCCGTGAAGGCGTAGGAAGTATATACATTTTTATGCATGAATTATAAAAAAATAGTTTGAAAAATGAATAGAAGCACACAATACTATTTCCATATTTGAATATCAAGATTCAAATTAGAAATGATGAATGTTACTTGGCCTTTTGCTGCTCTTTATATCTACAAGCAAATTTCTTTCTGCTATTTATCGTGGAGTCTTCCTAATGTCACTGATCTGTAGAGGTTTGTAGTAGTTCATTCCTGCATTTTTATTCCTAGCATATCCATCTGTGGCATAGATATATAGCCTTAAGAGTGTGTGATATCTTCCCAGATTGAGATAATAGTTATCAGTTTATTAGTAATAAGATCAACCCCCCAAAAATACAGGGAGAGAGAGAAGCAGAAAAATGAAAAATAAAGGCATTTCCACTTCTTACAATTGGTGTTTCTGTTCTTATTTTGTGGCTCCTCTTCCTTTAAGCATGTTCCTATCTTTTTCCTTTTACAGCAGGAAACTCCTGTCTTCTACTTCTGTTATTTATAGGTTTTCGAAAACTGCTGCACATCAATTTTTTTTCATGAACCTTATCATGGGAAACCATTGCTATGACAACTGTTCGTCCAATTTCTGTCTTGATGATTTGTAGATGTTTCAAAACCTCACTGTTCCTCTACTTTGGTTATTCTTGGTGATGATCCAAAACCAAAACGAAAGGGATGCTTGAATAGGACTATGAATAAGAGAACAAGAACATTCTACAATCACTGTAAGCATCCAGATTTAAGTCGCATTTCACTCAAAAAACAATCGAAACAATTTACCTGTTTTTATTTTTGAAATTTACTTCTCATGAGATGTGTTTCTAATTTTAGATGCAAGTGGGAGTGGATGGTGGGACAGTGACATGGAGGGGCTTGACAGTGAAGAAGTTGGTTGTAAGGAAGTATGGGAAGGCATGGGGTCCACCACCTTGGGAGGACTGGAGTGGCACTGAGTGAATGAATGATTCTATGAAAATTTCAGTTAAACAAGTTTCAACAGTGTTTGAGCTTTCAATGATGATGCAAAACCTGAATTCATGTTTTTAGTTACCATTGTTGTATCTTGTATTCCAACGTCATATCTATGGACTTTTTTTGTGGAAAGAAATGGGATGAAGGTTTTATTTAGTCTTGTAGAGTCAGTATATAATTTGGGTAGGTATGAGGTCCTTTTTCTTCCCCTTACCTAGTTAGCAAATGTTTCCTTGAGACCACCAATTGAACGTGGTTCATTAGATTGTTCTTAGTTTGTTGAATTAAGTTGGATGTAATGGATGTATGTATGGCAGTTTATTTATTATATAAACTAGTGCGGCATGTACACTGCACGTACTTTATGAAGATATAAAATGAAATAATGCTATATTAATTGAGTCAGTTCAAATAAAAAAGGAAAATTCATGTAAATATAAAATATGCATTTTTTATGAATACTATAAAATGTCTGAAATTTTTTAAATTTATGTCCCCTTTCTCCTTCTTAAAATACTCATTAGTTATGTACTCTCAATTTTGAGTTTTGTTGAAGTTTGGTATTGGAGTATTGAAGGTATTGAGAGTATTGAACATATTTATGCCTTTAACAAAGCTTTGTACAAAGAATACTGAGCAAATATAAAACAAATAAATAAAAGTGTTTGGTACTCAATACTAAATATAAGAGAGAATAATTTGGTATTGAGAGCATTGGATATAATATGTAAAAAATAAATTTGTTTCATACTCCTAGTACCGAACTTAATTAAGGGCATTAGAGCTCACTCACTTGGCTTCCTTCATGTCCTTTTTCTCCTTCCTAAAATACTCATTAGTTATGTACTCTCAATTTTGAGTTGTGCTGAAGTTCGCTACTAAGAGTATTGAACATATTCATGTCTTAAACAAAGTTTTGTACAAAGAGTACCCAGCAAATATAAAAAATAAAAAATGGAAGTGTTTGGTACTCAAATACTAAATGTAAGAGACCATAATTTGGTATTGAGAGCACCAATTATAACATGTAAAGAATACATTTGTTTCATACTCCTAGCACCGAACTTAATTAAGGGCATGAATCTATTTGGCACATTTAGAACTTAACAATAGTTTTTGTAAAAAGTGATTTCAATATAGTTTGGGATTGAGGATCTAACTAAGGAGCATTTTGGGCAAAAAGTTTGAATGGAAAAATTTGGGACATCTACAAAAATTAAAAATTTAGTGACATTTTTTAAATATTTATAAAAAGGGATACAAACTATTCCTAAAGGACATGCTCCTGAGGACTATGTTGTCTATATATTCCCATGGGCAAAACCCAACTTAGGAGTATTTTTAGGACCCCAACCTCTTTAATCGATATGCATATTCAATAGAAAAACTATTCCAAATTGCATTATCTGTGGGTTTGAAAACAATAATGTTTCAAAACTGCCAAAATTTTTAATGGTGATATGTAAGTGTTAGAAAACTCTAAATAAAAAAATTTCTTTTAATATCATCATTTAAGGATTTTTAGGTGGTTCCAAATTTTGGATTAAAAAAAAACAGTTTTCTACTTGAGGGAGTAAATGTACAATATGCTTCCGTGGGAGCATAGTATGCACACTATAAATTATTCTAAAATATATTTTTATATAAGTGTGAGGTTCTAAACAATCAAATTAAGGCACACCTTAAGAATTTCACTAGAAGAGGTTGTTTTGATGCTCAAAAGTCTCAAATTGATCATCTCAACCACAAGATGCATGGCCATGAAAAAAAAATGGATTTTAAGTTTTGGAATAGTTAATCTTGTAATGCATTTTTGGATTTTCAAATTTAAATATTTTCAAGTTTTCATAGATTTATTCAATCTACACTATTTATGAAGTTTTAAATTTTATAATTAGAGATGAAAAGATATTTTATGGTTATCACAAAGAGTTCTAGTATTGAAACCAAATTTATCGACATTATTTGAAGGCGCACTTTACTTTGATTGTTTAGAGCTTCGGCCTTATACAAACCACATCCTCTTCTAAATTATAGGATGCAGTTTCTATAAGGCTTAGGCTTTACAAAAAACAAAGTAAAGCCTCACCTAGAGTTGTCGTCTATAAAGCATTATAGGTATTATAAATCTTCATGATGGCTTTAAAATTAATTTCTAACATCGACTATGAAATTTAAATCTAAAAAAGTGGTGCAGATCTTGGGGATTAATGAACATTTATTTTAGGGTGAAATTGATGATATTGACCGTGGTGTCCTTTTTCTTTAGGTATTGACCATGGTATCCCTTCCACATGAGATGGGACACCCTAATAATCTTCCCCTCCTGTCGCATGAGGGAGGTTCACCTTTGCAAATTAACCTGGTGCTTAGATAGCACCCATGCCAACCATTCTTATGTACAACTCATGCTTGTTTTTGGTCAAGGTCTTCGTTATCATATCCAATCTATTCTAGTCAGTTTTGAGTTTTTGCTAGCAGTAGTAACTTCTTATTCAGAACATCCTGAATCTAATGCTAACGCATGTCAATATGTTTTATCCTAGAATGGAAGCTAGCATTCTTGCTCAAGTGAATAAGCTTTGATTTGTCACAATGGATGATATACATGTTTTGTTTCAAGCACAACACCAGGAGGAATCTCTTCTTCCATATCATCTCCTTGCAGGCTTATATGACTGCAATGTACTATGCCTCAATGGTCGACAGAGTCACAAACTTATGTAGTTTGGACTACCAAGATATATCTCCCCCTGTCAAAATAAACAAATATCCTGAGACTGACTTCCAAAGTCTATATCTTTAGCCATGTCTGCATTTGTGCACCCTTGTAACACATGTTTATTAGCCCCAAAGATGAAACATACTTTAGATGTTCCTCTGAGATATCTGAAAATCCACTTAACTGCTGCCTACTGTTTCTTGTCAGGATTAGCAATGAATCTACTCACTACGGCTACTGTATGTGTGATATCTGGCCTCGTGCACATCATGGCGTACATCAAATTTTCTAAGACCGACTCATAGGGAACTTTATGCATTCCTTCCTTCTCATTCTCATTTGAAGGGCTCTGCTTGGCACTCAACTTGAAATGGCTTCCAAGTGGGGAACCATTAGGTTTTTCCATGTTCATATTGAACCTTTCGAGCACTTTCTTAATGTACTATGACAACCATTGCTCCCCAACCTTTATGACAAAAGAGATCTTCATACCCAAGATCTGTTGAGTAGGTCCAAAGTCCTTCATGGCAATGACGTTGCTCAACTTGTCTTTCAACCTGTCTGACTGAAAATCAACATATCATAAACATACACTAAAAATATTATGAAATTACCGTCGGAGAACTTCTTAATGAACACACAATAGTCTAAGGCTGTCCTCATATATCCATGACTACCCATGAAGGAATCAAACTTCTTGTACTACTGCCTTGGGGCCCGTTTCAGCCTGTATAAGCTCTTCTTCGGCTTGCAAACCATGTGCTCCTTTTCTTTTACCTTGCATCCTTCTAGCGGCTCCATCTATATCTCTCTCTCTCTCTCCAAATCATCATGGAGAAAGACAATCTTAACATCTAGCTTTTCTATCTCTAGACTTGTAGCTAAGCTTAACGCCACACAAATTGATGAGATTTTCAAATATTTCATCAAAATCGGTGCCATTTTTTTGCTTGAAGTATTTCACAACCAACTTGGCCTTATACCTTGGTTGTGACCTCTTTTCTTTAGTCTTTAGCCTGAAGGCCCTATTGTTCTTTAGTGCCTTCTCGCCGTTAGGCAACTTTACCCGGTCATAGATGTGGTTCTTATGCAAGGATTCCATCTCCTGTTGCATAGCTTCAACTTAATCCTTTTTATGTTCATCGGCTTGAGCTTCCTGGTAGCCTTGTAGTTCACCCCCTTCAATGTATAGGATATACTTTGATGTGAGGTATCTGGTAGAGGGTTTATATCCCCTAGAGGACCTTCTTAGTTTAACTGTAGGTAGTACTTCTTGAACTGGCTGCTCCCCTTGCTCTACCTTACTCAGATTTGACATGTCAAACTCTTGGGACCCATCCTCTTATTGCACTTCTTTATGTACCATGGTAGGAAGAACTGTGACCGGTTCTGAATCATTGGATATATATGATTTTTTTGACTTTTTCACATCTTCAATGTTAAGATCATCTTGAAAAGCCACATCTCTACACTGGATCTCAAGATCCTATAGCCTATAAACGAACTCTTCATCTGAGTACCCAAAGAATATATATAGGAGTGCTTTCTCGTCCAACTTGGATTGTTGCCCCTTGGGCACATGTACTGCCTTGCACATGAACACCCTCAAGTGTGAATAAGAGATATCTTTTTCAGTCCATACTCTTTGGGATCTCACCATTCAGAGGAAAATATGGAGATCTAATATGGCTTTCGTAACTTGGCGGCTGATAGCATGCTCCTACCTATCTCCATAATGGTGTGATTCATTCTCTGTGCTATACTATTATACGGGCTTGCTCATAAATCTCTCCATAATAATGCGATTCATTCTCTCTGCTACACCATTATGCTATGGGATATATGATATTGTCTTCTTCGACCTTGTGCCACGCTTGGTATAATAGCTTTTGAAAGCATTTGAGGTGTTGTGGGGTATATGAGACTGTCTTCTCTTATCGTATACAACGCTGGGCATAATAGCTTTTGAAACCATTCAAGATGTACTTCCCCTCATTATCTGATCTGAGACGCTTCAACAGCTTGTCTGTCTCCCTTTCCATCTTAGTATGGAAAATTTGAAAGATCTTAAACACTGAATCTTTCGATTTCATTAAGTACACCCACACCTATCTTGGAGGTGACGAGGTATGATGTGCCACCAAGTGACTTCACATTCATGGGACCACACAGTCTGAATATACTTTGGAGTTTTTACTTGAGAATGAGATTCTATGTTGTTTGCCTAGCAAAAATTGGTCACATGTGTTCAGATATGCATTCTTGACACTGTGAAAAATATGCTGCTTCACTAATATTTGTGTTCCTTCTTAACTTATATGGCTGAGATGCCTGTGCCACATGTTGTCCACAGTTTCCCCATAATGAACATGCATAGCATCCAGAATCTTACCCACTTCCATGGGGTGAATGATTAGGGCCAACTTCTTGTCATTGTCTACAAGCACATCAGCAAAAGTAGATTCTTCGCCATCCTCAACGAGCTCTTCAATAAGAGCATCATCTTCCCCAACATCATCCGGGACACACGAGGTGATTGGGGGCACCACCAAGGGTTAACCAATCTCATCCTCTCTCAAATCCAAGAACTCTCCATCTAGAACAGCCGGTCT